AAACTTACGAGAAATAATAAAGGATATTATATGGTTTACAGAATATAGGATAGACAATATAGGATACATAATATAAGCAATAGAATACAGGATGCTCATCTTACGATACAGCAACACAGCACAGCTTATGATAAGGTAAGATAACTTTTTACCCAGTCTTCAATAGCAGAAAGCATAGACTCTAATACTTGTTAGAAATTCTGGACTTTGAGTATTTTCTTTAGTTAGCTTTAAATTTAAAAATGGAGTGTAAATGAAGGGATTTGAAAAAGGAAGAACTCGGCATTTTTACACATTTACCTTATTTACAAACACAACCGCTTAAAATAACTTTGCTTTTAATTAATTTTCTGAACGTTGTAGATGACTTTGGAGCCAATGGTTTCATTAAAAAAAATGTACACCATTGAAATGATTTTGGGACTGTCTAATAAAAGTTGAACATTGTCTGAAACGTCATCAAATTATGAGCATCTCTAGAAGCACGGAAACACTTCCGGGTGAAAAGTCCAGGATTATTTATTTATCGAAACGCAGCAATTATGACCTCATGATTTTAACTTAACGAAAACAACAAGTGTCATACGTATATAACAGTAGAGGCTAGTTTATGAATTTTTGTATAGAATCCTCAGTAGGTTTTCACAGTCCTGCAATATTTGTTGAAACGGTTTACAGCGCTCTGTAACATCTTTAAAGAATAGTAACTCAGAGAGCAGTAACTTAGTGAGGAGTAACTCGTGGAGAAGTAACTCGGGAAGGTAGAACTTACTTAAGGAGATGTGACTCAGAGAGCAGTCATTTTATGGAGGAGTAGCTCAGGGAGGAATAACTTGATGTCTTCAGATAGGGCACACATTTCTGGGACCTTTTGGTTCGCAGGTTCCAAGTCGCCTTTGAGCTGACCCGTTTTACGTTTGGACTAGGCCATGGCCAAGAAGCCGATGTAGCACTAGTGGTATGTCATCTAGTGGTAATGTCATCTAGTGGCAATGTCATCTAGTGGTAATGACATCTAGTAGTACAAGCCATCTAGCAGTATATGCCAATTGTCGGTACGTGTCGTCTAGTAGTACATGTCATTAAATAAAAACATTTCATACATCACAATGTCCAGCCGCTGACCCCCCGTGTACAATTTCTATTTAAAAAATAACATTGAGAAATACAAGATGACGTAAGCAACACGATTCACACAATCAAAACACGATTCACACAATCAAAACACGATTCACACAATCAAAAAACGATTCACACAATCAAAACACGATTCACACAATCAAAACACGATTCACACAATCAAAACACGATTTACACAATCAAAACACGATTCACACAATCAAAACACGATTCACACAATATCAAAACACGATTCACACAATCAAAACACGATTCACACAATCAAAACACGATTCACACAATCAAAACACGATTACACTTTAATTTCCATCAGTAAAAAACGTGTTGTTTACTCTAGGGAAATATTCAATCCCCAAAATGAACTGCGCTCGGTGATCAATCAAATGCTAATCACTTCCTTACGTTAAGGATACATGATCACCCCAGGCACTAACTAACGCAATGAGGCAATTAGAAGTTGATAGATAGCTCCGGCAAGGTCCCTTTAGCATATCTGTTCAACTAACGTGCCCTGATGCCCTCTCCTTGTTTTTTCAAAGTTATTTCTGACAGACTTTTTCATGATAGCGTTATTTCGTTTTTTGACGCCTTTTGAGAGATAATTTGTCATCTCATTTCATGCGAAAGAATACATTCCTAGAGTATTTCAAACTGTGTGAACTGTTTAGTTGCACTGTTAAAATACAGTTCATTCGGTTGAGATAGGAAACACATGGGTTTCTACTTTTACTGTCAGAAGGTTAAAGTCTACTGTTAAAATACGGCTCATTTGGTTGATATCTTGAACGTTGCATTTCTAGTTTTATTATTACAAGGTCTTCGGTGATTTAACTACAGCATTTTTATTATTTTTCATGTATTTATTTTTAAAAAAAAGATAATCTAAATATTTCACGAACATTTTTATATTTCATTTATTTCCTTCTGGCCGTCTTGTGTAACGAGGGGAGGTCATCCTGGATCTGTCTCTCCACAACGTTATCAAATACATGCGTCTAATAGAATGTCAAAGTGAATTGTGATCACCAACATTAGTGCCATTACGCAGCAGATGTCGTGATTTTAATGACCTTGACCTCAATTGACCGTTTGGACATCGTCCGTTTGTTTAGAAGCCCAGACTACGCATGCCTAGATTACGCCAAAGCCTAAAACGCGTTAACCTGTCTGTAGTTAACGTCACTTCCTCCTGTCAATCACCCGACCATGACAGCGCGCACTTGTTGAAATATTGTTTCAGAATCTCTGTAAATTAAATACTTCAATATAGTATTTTTTCTGTACCATGAAGATGCGCGTCTTATGCTCAGCGCGGGCTCTTGACCAAATGTTATAGTATTGTTAAAGCAACAAATTGTCTACATTTTGTTAAAACCGCACTGAGGACTCGGCCAGACGACTAAGGAAAAAAGGCAGAGTCAAACAACATCGCTTGCCATTTCACTCGAAGTCATCTTCTCAACATCGCTTGCCATCATTCCAAGTCATCTTCTCAACATTGCTGGTCATTTCATTCGAAGTCATCTCCTCAACATCTCATTGGAAATTATTTACTTAAAATGGCTTTGGACGCTACCACCTAGACCAGTGGTTCACAAACGTTTAAGTATGATGGACCCCTGGATAAGTTATCCTATTGTACCAGGTACCGATGGATAAATTATTCCATTGTATCAAGGACGGATTGATAAGTTACCCCATTGTACCAGGGACCGGTGGATACGTTATCCTTTGTACCAAGGACCGGTGGATAAGTTATCCTTTGTACCAAGGACCGGTGGATAAGTTATCCTATGTACCAGGGACCGTAGGATAAGTTATCCTTTGTACCAAGGACCGGTGGATAAGTTATCCTTTGTACCAAGGACTGGTGGATAAGTTATCCTATGTACCAGGGACCGTAGGATAAGTTATCCTATTGTACCAAGGACCGGTGCCAGATTTATTATTTTATTTTTAAAAATCTTATCTATAAAACAACATTAAGTAATCCGCTAGAATCCAATTCTACAGGAGTATATTTACTATTAGCATTAATGTTATAAATTATTCTTTCTGCCTGTTTAAATTAATTTAATTTTTTAGCCTGCATTTTTTTCTTTCTGTTTCATGCTAACCAGCAAGTTAAGGCTCGCAGACCAGTGCTTGCCCGGAACCCCACTTAGCGGTCGTTCGAAAATTACGTCACGCTCGGGCGAGGGGGGGGGTAAAGGGGGAGGGGGTTGAGAACTTGTGACACTTTGTGACGGGGGAGGGGGGTCAAAAATGTGTGTCGTCAGAAAGGCTCGCAGACCAGTGCTTGCCCGGAACCCCACTTAGCGGTCGTTCGAAAATTACGTCACGCTCGGGCGGGGGGGGGGTAAAGGGGGAGGGGGTTGAGAACTTGTGACACTTTGTGACGGGGGAGGGGGGTCAAAAATTTGTGTCGTCAGTTTTTTTATATTATTTTTTTAAATCTAAAATTTTCTAATTTTGAAAAAAATTCTTTATTTAATTAATTTAAATAAAATTAATTTGAGGTCGAAATTGCCTCAGGTAGTATAGTTATTATGAAACTACGTTTTCTAATAATAATACATCTTAATCCATTATGGGAAAATTTTTAAAAATTAAAATAAAATCTTAGTTTAGTTATGAAATTGTAGATGTGTTTTGAATTTTTTTAGGTGTGACGTGACACTAAAGGGGTGGGGTAAGGAATGTGTGCCAATTTGTCACAGGGGGAGGAATTTCTAAAAAGGTCATTATTAGCGTGACGTAATTTACGAACGACCCCTTAGGTAAACGCAGATCTAGACAGTGACATCTAGAAATGGGCATCTGAAGTGACATCTAGAAATGGGCATCTGAAGTGACATCTAGAAATGGGCATCTGAAGTGACATCTAGAAATGGGCATCTGAAGTGACATCTAGAAATGGGCATCTGAAGTGACATCTAGAAATGGGCATCTGAAGTGACATCTAGAAATGGGCATCTGAAGTGACATCTAGAAATGGGCATCTGAAGTGACATCTATAAATTGGCATCTGAAGTGACATCTAGAAATGGGCATCTGAAGTGACATCTAGAAATGGGCATCAGGAGTGACATCCATAAATAGGATTCTGGGGTGGCATCTAGAATTAAGCATATGGGGTGACTGCTAAAAATAGGCATATGGGGCAGCTTCAACCACATCTATAGGACTTGATGTTGTTGCTCACAGCCAGTGTTTTGTTACTGTGCATGTCATAATGTCACTCTGTCACAATGATGTGCGGCTGGATTTTTGTTAACTTCTGGATGAAATTGTTGTTGTTGGGATTAGCCTGTTCCTTGCCATCATCATACATTTAATGTTTTGTTTTAATTCAACTGACGTAAGATTTATTTAAAAATGTTGTCTTCTTTGTCATATATGACAGCCTCAATCAGCTTGTCAGTGTCATGCAGGCCTTAATCAGCTGGCCAGTGACATCGCAGCTTTAAACTAATGGTCAGTCACAAAACAATTATTCCAATAAAGTTATTAATACGTTATATACTTTGGTCGTTTAATTAGGCCGATCAATTTTGCGCGGTGAGATATATATACACGCGAACAGCTGCACTCACGCCTTCTAAAATAATTCTCTTTTCTCCTTGATGTGGTGAGGACGCCTTGAGGTGTCAAATGGTGCTCTACATGCTTCTATTTACGACAATAACTCAATCTGCTACCTTAGCTAAGGTTATGATTTGTCATGATCGGCGTGTGTTTTATTATCATGTAAACCACTTGTCTGGGATACCATTTTGGCATCGATAACTCTTGAGAGAGCCAACAAAATATTTAAAATATAATAATTATGAACCTTTTAATTTGTGTTATTTTAAGGTGTTTAATATTCCATCAAATCAGGACACATTTTAGTAATTTATATGTTTCATGCGTACATCTCATGCACATTTCTGCACTAACATACTTCTTGACATACACATAAGAGAATGACATGACATTTTGATCAATGTTGTTTATAAAATAAAATGCTTTTTATTGAGTAAGGCTTCATGTGCTTCTTTATTTTGTTTCTCAGAATAATAACGAAGATAAGGTTAGGACAACAAATTTGGTGTAGAAAATCGTTGTCCTCTATGCCCGGTATGCTGTCGTGGGTGTTGAATTCTCCGATACAGCACCAGCTGTACATTGCTTCCGGTGAACGTCGTGTTGATTCTTTGACTCAACCGGAGGGTTGATCCTGCCTAGTTTTCAGGACTGCGTCTCTAAGCACAAAACCCGCCAAGATATTCAAATGTGTCGTCTCTCCGTCTAGACTAAATGATTAAAGTAAAATGTTACATTGCTTGCTTGTGATGCCATTACTGAAGTCCTATCGTAATTTTGTTTGAGTTCAGTAACTTCCTGTTGTGGTTGGTGGTTGCTAGGGTTGGTTTGACTTAGAAGAGGCTACTGGATGTTTGGCCGGTGGAGCCACCAAATAGGTTACCTCCTCCGGTGCTAGTCCCGGCTTCTGTTGGGAAAAAAAGTCCATGTGATTTTAAAAGGCTATTTTTGTTTGAGTGTAAGGTGATGCATATGAACAATGACACTGTGTAATGGACATTCAGGTGCGTTCAGGCAAAAGGTTGGGTGATGAAAGTGTTGTGACAACGAAACACATCATGAACCAGGCTTTAGAGGATCATATACAGTGATTTCAACCTGTACACGTTCGAGTATGCGTGTCCTCCGATAGATTTTTAAAACGTGCTTTCAATCAATTTTTGTATTATTTTAAAATTATAACAAAAGAGAAAAATACTAGGGTGAAAAAAAGGTTGCAAATGCACGTGAGATTTAAGACTGGAGTTGAAAGATCTACTTACTAGCTCCGGATCCGGAGAGGAGTGCACTTCCTGAGTAAGAGCCTGCTAGGTACAAGGCAAAACGAAGAGAGTTAATAGTCAGTCATACTAAATATAGAAACAGAATAGAGTTACTAGATGATATAACCAGAGCAAACATGTAAATTACCATTTTAGGCAAAGTTTTAAAAAAAAGGTTTATTTAAGAAATACGCCAGTGTAAATTATGGCGTTAATTAAACAACATTAAAAGCAAAGTTTTTCGTATAAATTCTTTATAAAATGTCACATCCAGCAATGGGTGTTGGTCTGAAAATTTAACAAAACATGCATACAAGTAACGCACTTTATAAGAATCCCATTTAGTGCCCCCTTCACCCCCAAGGCTCGTAAACGGATTTTTTTTCCCTCACGCCCCTGAACTATACTAATATTCTAATGACCCACCCGCTTTTACACCGCAGATTTATTTCACCAACTATTTAATAAAAACAAAAGAAAACGCACTTGCGATATTTTATTTAAAAGAATCTCATTTAGCTCAGTTATCGGGAATTTTATTTCATGAAATCAGAGGCATCATTTCCTTTCATATTCCCCTTGAAAAACAGGTGGAAAAGGGGGGGGGGGCGTATTTTTCGGGTTTGGGGTGTCGGGCTGAAAATTTAAAAGAATATCTTGTCATCGGCGACGCGTTTATGTGCAAAGCTTGATAGGTTGACGGGACGTGGGTCAAATGAGCCGTCCAAAGATTTAGCCCTCAGCACACAAAAGCGACGTTAATATAAAGGATTTGAAACTAGGAACTAACCGATGGTTGGAGCACCAACAACTTCAGTGGCGGGGACTGAATCTTTGACCACAGAGCAGCAGGTTGTAGTGGGACGTTGGCACAAGTAGTCCAAGCAGATCTGAATGGGAGAACATGGATAGAAAAAAAAAAACACGTAAAGATGCGCCTTTTTCATTGACGTATTGTGTATAAAAATATGAAAAATCCCTTTACTCTTGTCTGGATAACATTCAATCCTATGGAATTTCTGAGGTAGTGTAAGATTTAAAATGAATAAGGGTTCCATCTTAAATCAAACCGTGATGGTTATAGAACACAGAAAAATATGTCTATCTGGTATACTCACAGCGACACCACGACCCCTCAGGTCAGCCTCGGAGAGATCTCTGACAACACCGGAGTAGACGTTGCCACCTTGGCTGATGACGATGGGATCTTGGATGAACCCAGCTCTGAAACATCATAAGGAGCCATAAAACTAAACCAGAATTTCCCAAATTAAGGCTTACAGCATTCGATTTGATTTGATAATGATTTACAATAACGAAAGCTTCGCAGAATGCCCCGTCTAGGCTGCTAGGTAAACATATGCGTCACGAATATAGGTAAGGGCCAGTTTTTTTGTTTTTTTTTAATGCTGCCTTTAATTGGACATAAGAGATCGACTTACGGATATGATGTTTGGCCGTACATTCCGTTACTGAATTGGGAGAACTGACCTGAAGAAATAAAAACATTGTTTTAGACCGTAACTTTTGGACGTATACCAAATAGATTGGAAATGCAAAGAATGTCACATGTCATTTGTCTTGTAAATTTATGATACAGGTTAGAGGGTAATTTCTATCATCATTTGGCAGAATTGCTGTGGAATTTGATGGGTAGAATTTGATGTGTGTCTTTGGGTAGAATTTGATTGTGTCTTTGGGTAGTAGTAGAATTTGATGTGTGTCCATGGGTAAAATTTGATGTGTTTCTTTGGGGGAGAATTAATGTGTGTCTTTGGGTAGAATTTGATGTGTGTCTTTGGGTAGTATTTGATTTTTATCTTTGGGTTGAATTTGATGTTTGTATTTGGGTAAAATTTGATGTGTGCCTTTGGGTAGAATTTGATTGTGTCTTTGGGTAGTAGTAGAATTTGATGTGTGTCCATGGGTAAAATTTGATGTATTTCTTTGGGGAGAATTGATGTGTGTCTTTGGGTAGAACTTGATGTGTGTCTTTGGGTAGAATTTGATTTTAGTCCTTGGGTAGAATTTGATGAAGTTGTTTTGGCAGAATCGCTGTGTGTCTTTGTTATTCTCACGATAGTATTATCTGTTCCTCTTTCAATGTCAGTTAAGCACCAGCTGATTTTACCATAGAAACGATGTTCGTCGTTACAGTCTAGCATGTTTCAAATCAATTTATAGTAATCCATTTTTGTTCTTAATATTGAGGATGTAATTAACAATTTACGAGGAAAAAACAATTATTAAAAAAAAAAAATTAGTTCACAAAGTATTTGATGAATGTGGATTACCTCTAGGTTGTTGCCCTTGGTTGATGAGGTCATCGTTCTGAAACACAATCGCAAGAAATGTGTACGTTAGAGCACAATTTTAGAACAGAAGCCTAACAAATTGAAATAATCAATTTCTTACTGTGCTAGACTGACAATCAAAGATGGACTAGTGCACCTGACAAGAGTCATCTTTAAAACATTTGGGATGCACTCTTAGACTTCATTCTGAACGTGGCTCATTTTAATTTTGTGGAATTTACAGACTTTAACGCTGTAGTGGGTGAGTCAACCCTCCTTATTTATAACACCTCTACCTTTACCTCCCTTATTTATAACACCTCTACCTTTACCTCCCTTATTTATAACACCTCTACCTTTACCTCCCTTATTTATAACCACTCTACCTTTACCTCCCTTATTTATAACCACTCTACCTTTAAGGACATCAGAGCCCCTCCCACCCTTCATTGTCCGAGTAGGTTTCCTTACCTGGAGGATGCCACCAAGACCAGCACAGTTGCCGTCTGTGCGGCCGTAGCGGGTCAGGGCCAGGAAGAACTGACCAACGAGAGAACTGGTGCCTGATGGGCTGATGGCCCCGTAGCTGGCGGCGGGGATGTAAACGGCGCTGATTCTCCAGTCTTGACGGTTGAGCTCCCTTGGCTGTCCGAACTGGAAGGCTGGGTTCTGGGAGGTGAAACTGCTCTGAAGACGGGGAGAAAGTTGGTCAAATAAAATTTCTTTGAAAATAAAATTGCAACTAATGAGAAAACAGTTTAAGTATTCTAGATACTGAATATGAAAGGTGTGTTGTTTTTTTTCATGTTTTGGCCAAAACGTGCCAAAGTGTCCTCGTTTTATAGCCATTTTAATTGTTTCTATAGTATAGTAGTTACTATCCTAATGTCTCATTTTTATTGTAGTTAGTTTACATGTTTTTAATAATTGTAAAGCGCTTAGAGCTTTAAGGTAAGCGCTATATAAAAATGCCTAAATAAATACATAATGGTTTAAATGCTAGTTTACAGTTAACATGACTAAAGGTTTTGATCAATGTTAAAATGAAAATATCTTATATACACAAAGCCTTGGATGTTAATAAAATAAAATGTAATGTACAGTCTACTAGATTTCATATTTTATTCGTTTATATACGCTCCGCCCAGGGTGGCATTTCTGTTTACTCTATATATGCATTATTTAGCTTATTTTTACGTTTATTTTGTAAGACATATAGTTTTCTTTAAATTTCGGGGGCGTCACAAAGTCTAGCTGCTCCACTGGCTCTACCAGATCAAACAAATGACCCGAATAGAAAAATTGTGCAAACTTATAGCGCTCATTTCAATATGTGATGTGTAATTTATTGCGCCTATTTCTTATGTGATGTGTAGAAATAATACCCCAAATCAAAATAAAGAACCATCAAAGTAAACTCTATTTCTGTTACTTACCTTTATACAGCATCACAAATTGTATGAATCTTAAACATCGCATTGTTTCACCATGCAGGTCGCGTACACTGTACGTCATTGTATGTTCGGGGTGGGGTTTGAACAAGGAATTTATCATTTAACTCTTTATATTCAATTGCCTACCTAGTCTTATTAAGGACACAGCTTTGTATAACTTATTGCCGCGATCTGTTGGTACCGGACGCCACCCATGCGAGACCCAATACAATGGCGGAACATGAACATGTGAGGTAAACCCACACACATCAACTAAATCTTTGATACTTGTTCATCCTTCAACCCCAAAACTAATTATGTTCCTATATTCTTTTAAGTAAATTCTTAGATATATTATATATTAATTATATATATAAATTTGGGGGAAATCTATACAGCTGGCTTCAGTTTTCCCATGTAAATTGAAATAAGCTGTTAAGCAACAGATTTAACTTGGTCTAGAAAAGGTAATAATTTTGTGCAATATTTAGTTTATTTTCTCCCGATTGTGGAACGGAGATTAAAAACTTACTGACTGAGTACTGAGGGTCTTTATATCTAACTTACCGGCTCAAATCTTAGGGTGATTATATCTAACTTACTGGCTCAAATCTAAGGATAATTATATCTAGCTTACTGGCTCAAATCTAAAGGTGATTATATCTAAGTTACTGGCTCAAATCTGAGGATGATTCTATCTAACTTACTGGCTCAAATCTAAGGATGATTCTATCTTACTTACTGGCTCGGGTCTGAGGGTGATTTTTAGATGATCTTGGGCCTCGTTAGTTCCAATACAGGTCAAAATTTGAGGAGGTTGGAATTCTGAAATGGCGCAGACACAAAGGCAGACAATAATAAATCTGATATTTATTGTGCAAATTATGTCTAAATATGAAAGAAGTTTATCTGATACTTGAGTGCAAATTATTTTTAAATATGAAACACGATAAACTGAATTACTTTTCACAGATGTAATTCAGAAACAAACATGTTTCTTACCAATGCTGTGTACGCTACAATACGAAGCTACTTAATAACTTTTGATTCGAAGGTTAATAGAAATAACTAGAGGGGTTGTCAGAAAGTATTATCATTATAGTGTATCGTGCATGACTGTTTTGTTATTGGTACAACATCACTTTAAGCTCACTAGCTGACCGCATACAATATTATAAGTTCAACAATTGTGGGTGCACGATTCTAGTTAGAGAATTATGTGACTGTGTACGTGTAGGCCTAATCTGTAGTGTGCAGCTTTTGGGGGATTAAAATTAAAGTTTGGTAGTATATAAGAAATAAGAAATACATTTATTTTTAAAACCTTTCATTTTGAAAAACTATATTTCAATCTGTCAACTTGTTCAGGGACATTAAAATAACTGTTAATTTGTTGTTTGTGGGACTTTTTCCATTCGTCTAAAATCACTTATTGGTAATTTGCGATAAAACAGATTACTCAAATCAATTTTGTCTATGCATTAAAGACTTATAAACATTTTGTAAAAAATTAACTCTATCATAATAATTGGTTGCGGGGGGGGGGGGGTGGGGGGGGGGGGAAGAAAAAGGGACAATAAATTTATTTTGTGAGTAATGATATCATGAACAAATGGCGTGCTTTTGAAAAAAAAATAGTTTTGTAACTATTTGCCATCCAATTTTAACATATAAATTTATAAATCTCATTAATCTATTTATCTCATAAATCTATAAATCTCATAAATCTATTCATGACAATAATCTATTCATCTCATAAATCGATTTATATCATAAATCGATTCATCTCATAAATCTACTCATTTTATTAATATATTCATCTCATAAATCTATTCATCTCATAAATCTGTTCATCTCATAAATCTGTTCATCTCATAAATCTATTCATCTCATAAATCTATTCACCTCATAAACAGTACGATCAAAAACAAATTTACAAACAGGTTTTTCTTACGTTGTGGAAATCCTTGTTGTCCATTACCGAAAAGTGGATTAAATCCTTGTCCAGGGAACATTCCTTGACCCCCGGGAAAGCCACCAGGGCCTCCGGGAAAGCCACCGGGACCTCCGGGGAAGCCACCGGGACCTCCTGGAAAGCCACCGGGACCTCCGGGGAAGCCACCCTGACTTCCAGGGAAGCCACCCTGCCCTCCAGGGAAGCCACCTTGAGTCGGCCACTGCGCCCAAGTATTTGAGGCGCAGACGGCAACCAGCAGAAGAACGAACTGGCTATTGGCCATAGTTAACGGTTTTGTTTGTTAGTCTGAGTTTGGAAGATGCTGGTGGTATGAAGATGTACTTGTGTGCTGCCCGTGCTGCAACACTGTTCTGTCGTTCTTAGCTCTCCGTCGCGGCCTTTTCTTTATAAAGCGGGACAACTGCTGGGTTGAGGGGAGTGACTTCCCATGATTTCTCGCCCCACACCCCCCTCAGGGCCTTAGGGTCGCTTCTTTCCTGCCACGGCCTGAGTTGAGGGGAGCTCCCCTTGCAATCATGAATCAGGATGGGCCATCACGATTATTTTTAGCTCACAGCGCATCGCAGTTTCCTTAAAATTCGGGTTGAAGTGATTTTGGGTCAAATATTTTAAATCAAAATTAAAACATTAATTATAAAGGCAATAAATAGCCCACTTTTTGTTCTATGCGAAAATTTGACAACGTGTTATGACGTCATACCATTTTACCAAACTTACTCTGAGTGACAGTTGCCACTACAGCAGGTTAATCTGTGCTTACTATGAAAAGACCCAATGTTTAAAGACTTCAGTTAAGCCACGAACTAATTCAAATAACTCTTGCAAGCCATTAAAACAGCACTGGTCATATTTTCTTAGATTCATATTATAAATGTTTGTGCGACTCGTCTTACAAAATGGAGTCTTCTTCAGTTGTGTTTATTGATGATTGAATAATTTTATAGCGCTTATGTCCCCCTGCTATTCTAGCTTGCTCACGGCGCTCTAATGTCCTAAATTCCATTCAAAGAAAAAAAGTCTGTAAATGTTTTTTTTCTAAATTATATTTTGTCATGTTCAATTTCCCTAAAAGATTGAGGCAACTGTTCCATAATTTAAGCGCTATAGCTTTAAAAGAGCGCACTCCGTATGACTTCTTTCTGTGTCCATCCAAGCTTGGAACTCTCAGTGAGATCTGAGTTGAAGAGCGCAGGTTGTTTATGGGTACATGTTTAGACATTATTATTATTATTATTATTGTTACAGTGGTTTTACATAGCGTGGTAACCGACCCTGGGGCTGGGTTCACCGCGCTGCACATTAAAAATATTAGCAAGCATGATCGTGACATTAAAAAATAACATACATGTATTTAATTTTATTTTAAACAGCTTTATAAGAACAAAACATATGTATATTAACCCCACCCACCTGAGAACTTTTACATTCCAAGCCATTGACGGCACCCAGCAGAATCGTTTATCGGTCAGACCGGGTAATCAGTCGGGGTAGTAGAGTTAAAAGAGATTTTTTTTTTTTAGTGCAGTTTCGAAGGCCTGGGTGGTCGGTATATTTCGGATGTGTAGTGGGAGAGAATTCCATTGTTTGGGTGCGCTGAATCAGTTCTTGAAGATATTTGAAGTACACGAGCCAGAGGAAAGAATCATTCTGCAGGGCTCTGACAAGTCCACGCCGATGCAAAAGTCAGATGTCTTTTAAGATCATCTGAACTCTTCACTAGCATCATTGTTTTCATCAGACGTTCTAACAATTCTAAGAGTAATATGACGTCATCCCTTTAACTCTGGCTGTCATGTGCACCATCTTACGAGAGGAGACGTCATCAACAAAATTCCTTATGGCTGCGATGTGAGGATCGTCCGCTGATCAAAGACTTTGTACCCAATTCTTTTATTCAAACATAGAGTTACCGAAAAAGCAAAAAAAGTACCGAGCGGTGCTGGAAAGGTCACAAATCTTTTAGGGCTCCATCGATTCGTCTTTTAGGGCTCCATCGATTCGTCTTTTAGGGCTCCATCGATTCGTCTTTTAGGGCTCCATCGATTCGTCTTTTAGGGCTCCATCGATTCGTCTTTTAGGGCTCCATCGATTCGTCTTTTAGGGCTCCATCGATTCGTCTTTTAGGGCTCCATCGATTCGTCTTTTAGGGCTCCATCGATTCGTCTTTTAGGGCTCCATCGATTCGTCTTTTAGGGCTCCATCGATTCGTCAAAAGAATAACATTACCGATTTAAATTCATGTTTGTTTCGTATACTGAGATGTTGATCGATACAGTTCCGTGTTTCTATTTCTGTTTTGTAAATTGTTTCTGATCGCTTCATCCCAATTTCGGAAAGAGTATTAAATGTCAGGAGATTTTAAGCCATGGTTCATGGGGAATGGTCGGGGCATCAAAGGTGGACAACATCCTCTTCAAACACATGTAAACTAAAGCCATTTATTTTAGTCCATGCAATAATTGGCAATCAAACTTTCAAAAAAATTTAAACAGGAGTTATATTCAATAAAACTTTAAAGATATTTTTTTAACTGTATGGAAATCTGCTTATAAATGGCAATACAAGATGATATATCAAGAGAAGTTCAACATTTTGTTATAATGTAGCCTTTGAACCCTTAACGCCACACTTGCATGTTAACAACCCACTCTCCCACTCAAATTGTTTTCTAAAGGGAAAACGGAAACTTTACAAAGTTAACATTTAAAAAAAAATTATTATTATTATTTTGACCCTAATATTGTGATACGTCATCACCCCCCCCCCCTCAACACATAATTATCTCCGCCCGCGTCAGCAATGCCCATGAACTACGTGCCACCAAGAAAGAAAATTTTGACTTATTTTGCCCTGAGATTTGGGGTTAGACTTATTGAGTTCAACATTTTGAATTGCGATGGTGGGAACGAGACACAGGGTTCACTGGCTAGATCGCATCTGATGGAGGTCACCAGATTAAATCAGTCTGTGATCCTGTCTGGATTAGTTAGTTGGTGAAACGTGGGATAGGATGGAAGACTGGGCGTGGGAGGGGGGGGGCTGGACTTGCGGACATAGGGTCGTCGCAACTAATGTGACTGTTATATTTCATTAATAAATAAATTGTAATACTTTGAACATGTTAAATGCAGTATTAGTTGTTCAATTAATTTTAAAATCAGGTTCAAGTAATGTGTGTTTCTGTGAGTGTGTGTGTGAGTGTGTGTGTATTTCTGTGTCTGCATTCTGTATTTCTATGTCTGTATTTTTATGTCTTTATTTCTATGTCTTTATTTCTATGTCTGTTTTTCTATGTCTTTATTTCTATGACTGTATTTCTATGTCTTTATTTCTATGTCTTTATTTCTATGACTGTATTTCTATGTCTTTATTTCTATGTCTTTATTTCTATGTCTGTATTTCTATGTCTTTATTTCTATGTCTATATTTCTATGTCTTTATTTCTATGTCTTTATTTCTTTTTCTTTATTTTTATGTCTTTATTTCTATGTCTTTATTTCTATGTCTTTATTTCTATGTCTGTATTTCTATGTCTTTATTTCTATGTCTTTATTTCTATGTCTTTATTTCTATGTCTGTATTTCTATGTCTGTATTTCTATGTCTTTATTTCTATGTCTTTATTTCTTTTTCTTTATTTTTATGTCTTTATTTCTATGTCTTTATTTCTATGTCTTTATTTCTATGTCTTTATTTCTATGTCTGTATTTCTATGTCTTTATTTCTATGTCTTTATTTCTATGTTTTTATTTCTATGTCTGTATTTCTTTGTCTTTATTTCTATGTCTTTATTTATATGACTGTATTTCTATGTCTTTATTTCTATGTCTTTATTTCTATGTCTGTATTTCTATGTCTGTTTTTCTATGTCTTTATTTCTATGTCTTTATTTCTATGTCTTTATTTCTATGACTGTATTTCTATGTCTTTATTTCTATGTCTTTATTTCTATGTCTGTATTTCTATGTCTGTTTTTCTATGTCTTTATTTCTATGTCTTTATTTCTATGTCTTTATTTCTTTTTCTTTATTTTTATGTCTTTATTTCTATGTCTTTATTTCTATGTCTTTATTTCTATGTCTGTATTTCTATGTCTTTATTTCTATGTCTTTATTTCTATGTCTTTATTTCTATGTCTTTATTTCTATGTCTTTATTTCCATGTCTTTATTTCTATGTCTTTATTTCTATGTCTTTATTTCTATGTCTGTATTTCTATGTCTGTATTTCTATGTCTTTATTTCTATGTCTGTATTTCTATGTCTGTATTTCTATGTCTTTATTTCTATGTCTGTTTTTCTATGTCTTTATTTCTATGTCTGTATTTCTATGTCTTTATTTCTATGTCTTTATTTCTTTTTCTTTATTTTTATGTCTTTATTTCTATGTCTTTATTTCTATGTCTTTATTTCTATGTCTGTATTTCTATGTCTTTATTTCTATGTCTTTATTTCTATGTCTGTATTTCTATGTCTTTATTTCTATGTCTTTATTTCTTTTTCTTTATTTTTATGTCTTTATTTCTATGTCTTTATTTCTATGTCTTTATTTCTATGTCTGTATTTCTATGTCTTTATTTCTATGTCTTTATTTCTATGTCTTTATTTCTATGTCTTTATTTCTATGTCTTTATTGCTATGTCTTTATTTCTATGTCTTTATTTCTATGTCTTTATTTCTATGTCTTTATTTCTATGTCTGTATTTCTGGGGGTTATGGCAGCCTTATTTCTAGGATTGTTAACGGAGGTGGGGGAGACATGGTTGTTATTTTTTAATTAAAAATTGTATCTTCCAACAAACACTGGATGTTGTAGACCAAACACTGGATGTTGTAGACCAAACACTGGATGTTGTAGACCAAACTCTGGATGTTGTAGACCAAACACTGGATGTTGTAGACCAATTGTAAGGTGTTTATTAAATCCGTTTCTAAGCATCATTTCATTCATACGGGTCAGGCCCCCCCAACCCTTTCTTTTCCCTCGATGTTAAAAACATTTCCTACACACCAACCCTTCGGTTAAAAGAATTCTAATGAAATTAATAAATACGTACTTTACTCAGTGAGTGCAGTGTACATTTGTTTCATGAACTCAATTATTTTAATTTCCATGTGTTTCATTCACTTGCTAGAGGCAAAAAAATCAACTGGTGTAAATAGTGCTAACACATTTTTTTTTAAAATCCCGGTGGCGTCACTAAGGTTACTTCTCACAGTGGTTTGGGGTTGCGGATCGCACGGGGTAACATTTCACGGGGGATGTGGGGCTGCGGACCACGACGGGTGACATCTCACAAGGGGAGGGGGGGGCGGCTGAGACCCAGGGTTGCCAACTGAATAAAATACACTTTACGGGGAGTTTTTCTAAATGTCCTCAAATTTTCTAAATGTCCACACA